CTGGGGTTGGGGGTAGCCTCGGCCTTTTTCGGGCCTTCGGCGTGTCAGGGCCCGTAGAGGCCCTTATTTACTTGAAGGTCAGGTTTGGTGTTTTTCGCCAATCCATATTTCCATTTTAGAAGCTGCTGAAGCTGGGGTTCGGAATGGCCTCGGCCCTTTTCGGGCCTTCAGCACGTCAGGGCCCACAGAGGCCCTCGTTGACTCCCGCTTGCCTCGACCCCCTCACCAACCGCCTGGTCCAGGAATTTCGCCAGCGGCGCCAGGGGCCCCCGGCCGGGGGGCCCAGGCAAACCCTGAACCCAAAACCTTGAACGACCGGGCACGGCCATCCCCTATCCGAGTACTGACGTTGTCGTAAGGAACGCCAATATCTGCTGGCCTGTCCAGGACAGAAGGTGAGGCTTAACCCTCACCTTTCCGTTTCTCTTTTCGCTTGGGCGCCTGTAAGGCCCTCGGCCGAGCGTTCGGGGTCTGTCGCTCGACGGAAGCGACCCCCCACTTAGTTTACGGCCAGTACCTGTGGTTTGCCCCCCCCCCCTATTGTTTTAGAGACCCAGAGCGACATGCGAAAACGTGGCCCCTGCCGAGGGCTCAGGATTCCAGAGGGCTTGACAGGACACGCAACTTCATGACACAAACTCCAGAGTTGGCGACGCGAGTGTGCGCATACGCGATGTGTGCCCGCGCGCTAGGATCACAACAAAAACCCCACACCCTAAAATTGTCAACCCCTAAACCCTAAACCCAAAAGCCCCTTTTGGGACCTGGTCTGAGAGCCATGCCCTAAAAACCCTAAACCCTAAAATCTACAAACCCCTAAACCCTAAACCCCCGAAACCCTCAACCCACCAGATCACAAAAACCCTAAAACCCCTACAACCTACAACCCCTAAACCCTAGAGCCTACAACCCCTGAACCCTAAAACCAACAACCCCTAAACCCTAAACCCAAAAACTCCTGCTCTAAACCCCAAACCCTCAACCCTCAACCCACCGGATCACAAAAACACTAAACCCTCAACCCTCAACCCTCAACCCTCAACCCTCAACCCTCAACCCTAAACCCTCAACGCTCGATCCGTAGACTGTGCTGATTCGCGAAATGTACAGAAATGTGCATGTTCTGGCTTCCTGATCATGCAGAGTACTCAACAAGGACCCTGATCCCGTATACTTGTGTGGCAACTTTGGTTTGGGCCTTGGGGGTTCCTGTAGGGTGTGGAGTTTGAGTGCACGAGGTCTCAACCATCTCTGGCAAGCAAAGGTCAGGCTCTGAACTGCAAGTACGGAGGGGGAAAAGCCCTGGGGTTAGGGCTTGGAGTGTAGGATTCTCTAGACACCCACAGGATGAATCCCAAGACTATTCACTACAGCCTGTTCTCTCTAGCAGCGCAAAATCCTCCAACCACTCCTGAATCCGTAAACTGCACCACCTAAAGCTTCTTTTCCACTCCATATCACCCCGCAAATCCCTATAACCCCTTAAATCCCTGAAAAAAAACGTAAACCCGAAAAAAACAGTTAAACCCTAAATAACCGTAAACCCTACCGAAACCCTAAACCCTTGATAACCTTAAATGCAAAGTACACGCAACCCTAAACCCCAAAACAACTTTAAACCCTAAATCGTAAATAAACCCGAATCCCGAAATTAAAGCCTTACACCCTAGCACCTAAATAAACCCTAAGCCCAAACCTAAGCTCGGCAGCCCAGTAACCATATCAAAAACGGGTAACCTTTTTCGGTTCGTTGTTTTATAAGGGAACCTTGAACCAAAACAAGGGTTTAGGGTGTAGGGTTTAGGATGTAGGGCCACAAAGAGTACCACTGGGCTACCAAGCAAGGTGCCTCGTTCCAAGGGCCGTCTTTATCAACAGCAGAAGCTGGTCGGTGCTCGGCGGTCGTGCCTCGGGCGCGTCCTCCTGGCAAAGGCTCGCTTGGGGCGCTGTCTGGGTTTAGGGTTTAGAGTTGTTTAGCGTTTAGGGTTTAGGGTTTAGGGTGCAGGATTCAGGGATTATAGGGTTTGAGGAGGAGTTCCGGATTCGTGGCCAACCTGTCCAGCTTCCTAGGGAGGAATCAAGGTCTACCTGACGGTCGGTATGATGTAGGGTCTAGGGCTTAGTGCTTTTAGGTTTAGGGTTTAGGGTTTAGGGTTTAGGGTTTAGGGTTTAGGGTTTAGGGTTTAGGGTTTAGGGCTTAGGGTCGGGTACTTCACCCCAAAGAAGCCGACTGCTGCTCATGGTGTCCAGTAAGTATGGGCTTCCCCCACACCCTGCACCCGAACAAATCTTGAACCTTGACCCCTAAATCCTAAACCCTGGACCCTAAACCCTAGATCCGAACCCTAAGTCAGAAATCCTGAACCCTAAGCCCCTACAACCTGAATCCTAAACCCTGAACCCTCAAGTGTTCATCCGAAACCCCAAATCCTCAACCAACCCTGAATCCTAGACCGGTAAGGGTAGGGTTTAGGGTTTAGGGTTTAGGGTTTAGGGTTTAGGGTTTAGGGTTTAGGGTTTAGGGTTTAGGGTTCATGACTTCCTAAACCCCAAACTCCTCCATCATTGAAGGACGCTTCCTCTATCCCCCACGGTAGCCTCGTCCGACTCGGCCTCCTGGTCTCCACTTTCACTGGCCTGGATGAAGGGTTTAGGGTTTAGGGTTTAGGGTTTAGGGTTTAGGGTTTAGGGTTTAGGGTTTAGGGTTTAGGGTTTAGGGTTTAGGGTTTAGGGTTTAGGGGTAGAGAAGAGCGAGAGTCGAGGCAGGCCTTTTGGGGTATTGAGGGCTTGGGTCGGTTGTCTTTTCAATCGTTGTTCTTGAGACCAGGTATCCTAAACCCTTAACCCTAAACCCTGTAAACCTGTAACCTATAACCCTAAACCCTAAACCCTAAACCCCAAACCCCAAACCCCACACCTAGAAAAAGCCCCTCAAGGACGCCTCGGCATCGGAGTCATAGCCTGGAATTTGCTCCCAGCAACTTTGGAGCATCTCCTCCAATGCGTAGGGTTAGGGTTTATAGGGTTTATAGGGTTTATAGGGTTTATAGGGTTTATAGGGTTTATAGGGTTTATAGGGTTTATAGGGTTTATAGGGTTTATAGGGGTTATAGGGGTTATAGGGTTTATAGGGTTTATAGGGTTTATAGGGTTTATAGGGTTTAGGGTTTATAGGGTTTAGGGTATAGGGTTGCAAATTGAAACCCTGTAAGCCTTATCAACTTAAGGGGTTAGGGTTCGGTCGTGGGGCTGAGGGGGTCCTCGGCGCGCCCAAAAAACCTGAAGAGGAATGCAAAGTATGACCCTCTTGAACCCCCAAAAAGGGAGAACATTCAACATGTTCCACAGGCCCAAGAGAGTGTCAGGATTTACGGATCGGTTCCTCACGAAGGAAGGGGCTTAGAGAGTCAGAGGGCGCGCAGGTGTAAGTTAGGGTTTGGGAAGGTTTTGGTGAGTCTGAGGGCTTATGTGGTGTGGGTTTTGTGAGGGCCTTAGACTGTTAGAGAGTCTGAGGCTTTAGAGCTTTGCCACAGTCAGGTGTGTTTATCGCCTTCTAGGGCAGCCCCTAGCTCTTCTGAAGGAACCTCTTAGGGGCTTCGGGAGGCAAAGATGAACATGCCCCCCCCCCCCCCCCCCCCAATCCCTGAGCATGAAGGATGGCGGCCAAAAAGTCCCGAACCTCCTTCCCCCCTCCTCCTCCCCTCAAGTCCTTTGAGATGCACTCGGGAGCATGGGACGACTCGTTACCTATCAGGCCTTTCCTGAATTGTTGTGGCTGGAGGCTGGAGGGGTGCGGGTTTGGTGTTGCCTGGTTTAAGGGTTTGGGCTTGGAGTTTGCTCCACTCCTGGTGCAAATGGTCAGCAGCCATGCCTCTGTTTGCTCGTGTTGAAGGTAACCTAGGGTTGGGGTGGTCAGATGTGCTGGTGGCGGCCGGTGCTTTCAAACGTTACGCCTAAGCTTGGATGCATGTTCACATCTTTTGGAGGAAGCATACCTGGATCGATACACTCCTGGCACAAACCACCAAGAGGCTCGACCTTTGAGCCACATGCGTTTACATGGACCGACAGTGTGCAGTTTCCGAAGCCACAAGCCCCCACCTAAACAAACCCGTCCCAGGCCACCTTGAGACAGCTGCCCACTGCCCATCAGTATATCGGTCCTTCTGAGTGTAGGGTTTCGGTTTGAAGTTCATGAGGGTTCAGGAGCCAGAGCCACAAGTCAGGCTTACTCATGTTCTGCATGCAAAGGCAGAGCTGTTTTCGAAAGAAAAAGTCCCAACAGACTCCATGGAAGTCTTCTGAGCTCAAGGTAAGGAAGAACTTCAGAGGAACAGCTGCGTGCTCCTGGAACATGCTATGAACCGTATCAACCCTAGACCCCTAAACCCTCGACCCCTAAACCCTAAACCCTAAACCCTACACCCTACACCCTAAACGGTAAACCCCTAAACCCTAAACCCCTAAACCCTACACACCGTTGGGCAAGCCAGCGATGCGACTCCCGGCATCACAGCCGTTCCGAGGACTTCGCGAGTCGCTTCGTTTTAAGGTTTTAGGGTTTTAGGGTTTTTGAGGGTTTAGGGTTTAGGGTTTAGGGTTTAGGGCTTCAGGATTTCTGCTGTTTTGTCTTTTCTTGGGACTTGTTTAGGGACTATTGTTTTTTAACTTAGTGTTTTTTGCTTTCTGAAGGGTTTGTTGGGGGGGGGCTCTTTGGGTTTAGGGCTTTAGGATGTAGGCTTTGTCGCTCGCTCTGAAGTCCAGGATAAGTCTCGGCCTTATACAGCCTTTCTGCTTACTGCTGGTTAGTAGGGAATGAGGGAATGAGGCACCCTATATCCCCCCTATGTCTATCTACATACATACACATCTATATATATATATATATATATATGGGCATACATACCCTTTAAGGGAATATACACGGTGCCTCATTCCCTCATTCCCTTCTAATCAACAGTATAAGTCTGGCGCTTGAGGCGGGTACCACCCAATTCGCGTCAGAAAGACTTCAGCACCTCCAACATCTGCGCCGGCGTGGTGCTCGGCTTGTCTCTGAGGTGATCGCGCAAGAGGTTCCTCACAGTGGATGGGCTTAGGGTTTCGGGTTTAAAGGGTTTAGGGTTTTAGGTTTTAGGGTGGTGGCTTCCTTGTTTTTCCGTCGCGAGGATATCAATTTCTGCTAGTTCCCGCTAAAACCCTAAACCCTTGACCCGATGATCCACGAAGCATAGGCGGTTCTTCGAACCATTTGCGAACTCGGGCGTAGCAAGCAAAATCCCCCCCCCCAAAAAAAAATTTAAAAAACACAACAAAAACCTCAAAAAACCCTGAATGCCCATAAAACACACACGAGAGGGTTTTCGCCCTCAAGCTTGGGACTCCGGGACTCCGGGACTCCCACATCTGACATAGATTCCAGTCTTGACGTTCTAGGGGTTTAGGGATCAGGATTCCGGGTTTAGGGTTTAGGGTTAAAGGGGGGGGGGGGGGGTCCTCCTTCGGGGTCCCTTTCAGGATGCTCCTAAAGGGAAGCAGAGTACATGCTCTGTGTTTAGGGCTTGGGGTTTAAGGGTTTGGGGGAAGAAAGAGGAACCTGTTGTTTTTTGGAAAACCCCGGCTTGCTGCACTTGCAAGAAATTGGGGGTTTAGGTTCTTCGGTGCATTGCGGCATGCGCAGACAAGTTTAGAGGAGCTTTGCGCAGCACAAAAGTCCGCCGGGGCGCAGTATCTCTTCGTACATCTCACTCTGCACGTCGCTCTTCGGCCCCCTCGTGATCCGAGGCTGTAGCAAGCCGGAGATCTCCGCCACCTTTGGTCGAAGGTTTAGGGTTTACGAGGTTCATGGGGTTCATGAGATTCAATGGGTTCATGAGGTTCACAAGGTTCATGGTTCATAGGGTTCATAGAGCTTGTAGGGCTTACAAGGCTTAGGAGGGTCGAGGCTATCTAGGTTTTAGGGAAGTCGCAATTGTTGCTCGCAAGAGCCGTGCTGGAGGACTCACCTGTTCAGAGCCAGGCCGTCACCTTGAGGTTTGAACAGGCTTCATCCACACTTTTCGGAAACTCCTCAACGCGAAGATACAACCTACATCAAACCTATAAACACCAAACTAGAGCCCCAGTTCATCCCGCTCAGGCACCAGGGTGAGGCGGCCAGTGAGTCCGTGAGACTCAGCCCTTGAACCCCAAACCCCTACCAACCCCTGCGCACGGTATAGAACCCCCCCCGTAAACCATAAACCATAAGCCCTAAGCTAGAACCCCAAACCCCATAACCCCCAAATCCCCCAAACCCATTTGTCCCTATGCCCGAAACGCCACAAACAGCCGAGGCTCCATCGCGGCTAGCTCTCCGGAGCTGCCCCACCTGGATTTCGAGTCTACAAGGTTTATAGGACTTCAGGGTTTAGGGTTTAGGAGTTAGGGTTTGGGGGTCAGGGACTGAGGGGTTTAGGGTTTAGAGCCTTTCTACGGGTCTGGAGCTACTGGCACTCCTGGGTTTTTATTTGGCTCGGAAGGCCCTTTGCACAGCTGCACCCTTCGCTTCCATGGCCGTTCTAGGCACGCGCACCCCGCACCCCGACGCGTGTGGGGTCTGAAGCCGGAAGCCTGGGATTCTGTATCGATGTCTTCCTCCAGCTCGTCTTCCTCTTCATAGCTTCCCCATCGCCTGCTGGATCATGCTGTCGCCTGCAGGTTGTTTCTGAGCAGCCTTGAAAGGCTGCAGCCGGCCGAGAGCACTACCAAGAGTGGGTCACGCCTACTCACTGCAATCGTGCAGCAGACCCGGAATCATAGCTGGCTCCCGCCCAATGTCTCACACCAGCACACGGCTGCTGCCATCCTAAGACCGCCCCTGGGACACTCCGCTGGGATTCTGGGGACACCCCAAGCCCAACCCTCACATTGCACCACGCCGGGCAGCCGCAGGAACTGCGACCTGCAAATCCGCGGCTTAGGCCGGCTCGGTTGCCGAGGCAGCGCACGCAAGCATCTACAATCCTAAGCCCTAATCCCTCAAGCCCCAGCATCTTTGAGCAACCCTAAACCCTGGACTCTATAGGGCATAGCCCAAAAGGGGACCATAACCCAGAGAACCTTGCTCTTGTGCAAACCTACAAAGGATGGGGACTCGACTATGAGTTGAGTTCGGTGGGCTGGGTTTAGGGTTTAGGGGTTTAGGGGTTTAGGGGTTTAGGGGTTTAGGGGTTTAGGGGTTTAGGGGTTTAGGGGTTTAGGGGTTTAGGGGTTTAGGGTTTGGGTTTTCAGGGGTTTAGGGGTTTCGGGGTTTAGGGTTTAGGGGTTAGGGGTTTAGGGGTTTAGGGTTTAGGGTTTATGGTTGCTTAAAGAAGCATGGCATCTCAAAAGCAGCCCTGCGACGTCTGGTCCGGCGTGCTGGAGAGGGGCCGATGATCTAGATTCTGAATGAAGCCGATCAATTCTTGTTTGAGGTCGTCCTCTGGCCAGGCGTCCATTTCCATGGCGAAATCCTGGGCTGTCCCTTTTGACCCGAAGAACATTCCGCAATTTAAAAGAACCAACAAAGCAAACAGATACCAGAGTCTTTCTTAGAATCCATGACCGAGCCCCTCCTCCCGATCGGCTTCTTGACCATGTGCAGGTCGGCTTGCGGGAGTGGTCGGTGGGGGCCGACATCAGTGACAATGCGGATTTGGCTTGGCTGGCAGTTCCAGATCTCTGCAACCAGCTCCTGCACGCGAGGTGGCTTCACATCCTCCGGTAGATTGAGGGCCAACCTCCTCCCAGGCAGATCAATGGTCACCTCGCGATGCGCGCATTCACGCTCCACGTCTGCGTGAAGGCATCCTCCGATGCCCTTGAGGAGTTCCGTCTGGGTGTGCGGGTCCAAACACAGGTCATCGAGCACGTGGTGTAGCTTCAGCTTCTCAAAGCTTGGGCGCCATACTTTGTCGGCCTCCGCGTGCGTGCACTAAAACCTCTTAATAGTCGCAGACCCTAAACCCCCAAGCCCCGCCCCAACGCCGAAAGTAACCCTTGGAGTGGCACCTCGCACCGTCGAAGCAGTTGATCGAGAAGATGCACAATCCGTGTGAAGCCCTCAGTCTCTCCCAGTTGTTGCGCTTCACTGTACTGAAGCCTCGCAATGCGAGCAACGTCTCCTGCCAAGGCGAAGCGTATACGGGCTCAGGGCTTCAGGACGGGCTTCTCGGAATCGTGCAAGGCATAGATACAGGTAACATACAAAAATCAGATTCCCGCGCAAAAAAACAACAATAACGAAAAGGTGCCCTCCAACACAAAGGCGATCCTGATTAAAAAGAGCACCTATTCAACCACCGTACCCTGCACCCTAAACCCTAAACCCTAAACCCTAAACCCTAAACCCCTACCTAGAGTCATCAGCGCACTCCTTTCAACTCGACATTGTCGTCGCACTGCCAGTGCTCCTGCTCCACAATGGCCCGCCACTGTTCTGCCATGGCGTAGTCGTGGTCCAAAGGGCTTGCTTTCCAATGCTAGACTCTAAACCTAATAAAGACATGTCATCATTACCCTACACCCTAATCCCTGAACCCTAAACCCTAAACCCTAAACCCTAAACCCTAAACCCTCCCGTGATGTTATCAAGAGCCCCCTTGTCTCGAACCTGCTGTGTTGACAGATCTGGGATCCTGCGAACCCTACACCCCATAAACCCAGAACCCCCAAAAATCCAAATAGGGTTTCGGGTTTAGGTTTAGGTTTAGGGTTATAGGGTTTAGGGTTTAGGGCAGTTTAGGGTTTAGGGTTTAGGGTTTAGGGTTTAGGGTTTAGGGTTTAGGGTTTAGGGTTTAGGGTTTAGGGACCCTAAACCCGAAACCTTATAAGCTCCAAACCCTCAACCCTATGAGCCTTAGACCCTACGAGCCCTAAGCCCTATGGGCTCTGTGGGTCCCGTGATGAGCCCCATGAAGCCCCTACCTGTGCGCCCTACGAACCCTAAACCCTAAACCCTAAACCCTAAACCCTAAACCCTAAACCCTAAACCCTAAACCCGAAACCCTAAACCCTAAACCCTAACCCTAAACCCTAAACCCTAAACCCCTACAAACCCTGTAAACCCTATAGACCCTGGTCAGCAAAGGCCGGGGCTTTCAGCACTCACTCTAGGTCCCTACAACACCCTAAACCCCCCAATTTTACGCCCCCCCCCCCCCCCCCCCCCCCCCCCCCCCCCCCCCAAACAACAAACCCCAGACCCTATGAGCCCTTCCCCGAAGTTGCGGTCCCATACTGGAGGCCTCAAGTTTGAAGGTTCAGACGCTTCTCCAAGCACCAGGGAATCACCAGGATCAGCTTCAGGCCAACACAAGGCGCTGGACTTCCCGGGCTTAGGTCCTACATACCTGAGTTCCTGAACCGAGAACCCCACCTAAACCCGAAGCCTTCCCTCCCCCCCAAGACAAAGCATACACACAAACAAAATACATACATATGTATGTGTCACAAAAAAGAAAGAAGATTAGTAACTAGTATGCACACAAGAAGAAACAATAGAGCCAAAGGTGACAAAGGCAGAGCTGGGTGCACGCCTTCGTGTGTGCCAGGTCTGGCAGTTTAGGAATCTGCTGGGGATTGGGCTTGCGAGAAACTCAGGTTACTGAAGCTAAAATCTGGGCTGGCCTTTAAACCAGATGAAACACCAGAAAACCCAAACAAGAAAAATGGACAACATCCCAAAAGCCAATTTTCTTGCTGTGGTATGTTGGACCTTCCATTCTGCGCTAGAGGTCATTGCCTCCAGCGGAAACTAGGGTCCGGCATCGTCAACGATGTTGGCAAGCGCCATGCTCCTCTTTACCACCGCCTAGAAATAAGAAGGAGGTTGCTCAACACTATCCCGCCTTCCACCAAGCCCTGAAGCCTAAACCCTCTCTAGGTAAGTTTCACTTAGTTTCATGATCCCAAGTTGACCTAACCTCCCCCCCCCCCCCCCCCCCCCTGCGCACCCTGGACAGCCGGGTGGGACGACTTTAGGGTTTAGAGTGTCGCGTTTAGCGTAAGAGTCGGCTTTTCATCGGTGTCTGACTGGGGCTTTTCAGGAAGTGCATCTGTAAAGGACACCCCTAGCTAAGCCTTGAACCCTGAAGCGCCAAGAGGCTCAAGGCCTTGGTATTCTAGGAAGGATCGGCAACAAAAGCGAGTCGACTCCCCACGCAGAGGCTGCTGGAGACATTTCAGGGCTCTTCTCCTGGGGCATATCGGGTAGAGGGGATGATTTGTTGGGGAGATGTCGAATCCGCTACCCTTCCGACCCTGCGATTGGCCGTTCGTTGGCCAGCCCTCCTCAAAGTAGCATGAGCAACCCTTGATGACGCCTCAAACCCCGAAACCTGGAAACCATGAAGCCCTAAACCACTATTAGGGCTTCTGCGTGGGTTTGGGTGACATGCTGCTGGCGCGGGGCGTGTTGCCTCGTGCGAACGTGCAGGTTGGTAGCTCTTGCTGCTTCAACTCCTCTCTTCAACTCATCATATGCACTAACGGTTCAAATATCTGTTTATATATTTATATACTGTATATGTATGTATATGTATGTATGTATATATATATATATACATGTATGTAAAATATACACCCCCCGCCCCATCCCCACCTCTGTGGTTCTGCGAGGGTTCATGGTGGGTTTTAGGGCTCGGGATCATGTACAGCATGTTAGTTGTAGCTACAGGCAAGATGCCTGGAGGGAAACATTTGAGTATCTGAGGCTGCTTCAGGCATGGAAAGGCCGCTGCAATTCAGATACTTCGGAAACCCTAAACCCTAAACCATAAGCTGGTGACTTGTGTCCTTGAATGATCAGGTTAGCCTGAAAGTCGGACTGGGGCTCCCCTCAATTGTGGAAGGTTAAGGGGACTCGCCATGCAAAGCCCACAGGTTTCTTCATAGACTATAGTTGCTGAGTTCATGAGCCCCAAGAAGTGTACACTTTCAGTTCTGAGATTCTATAGGCGATTTTAGTACCCCAAAACGTGTAAACAGTGCTCATTCAGCTGCTCAGAAAAGCATAGTAGGGGAGATGGCTTCTTAGAGCCCAGATCAAGAAATATGCGGGAGAAGAACTGTGCAACAAAATTGCGGGCTTGTGCACTTCCGGAAGTCAAACATAGTTACCCTAAACCCTAAACCCTAAACCCCAAGCCCTAAACCCGAAACCCTAGGTGTCGTATGGGGATGGGTTGATAGGAGCTTCCATGGACTCTCCACTCTTCCTCATCGGGTGTGTACGAGGTAATAAGCTATATATATATATATGTGTGTGGCATTACATATAAACATGTCTATGGTCTATATGCACATACTTGAACCAAGGACTTTCAGGGGTCCACTCCGCATACACAGATGGCCTACACCCAACCTTCGAGAGTCCGGGGAAAGCGATAGAGTCCTTAGACTTGCAAGTGAGAAGCGGCAGAACGAACCTCTAGCTGCTCATAACCTGCGCAGAGCTTGGAGATGTCCTTGTAAGAAGCCAACGAGTTGCACATAGCGGTTTAGGGTTTAGTGTTTAGTGCTTAGGGCTTGGGGTTTAGGGTTTAGGGTTTAGGGTTTAGGGTTTAGGGTTTAGGGTTTAGGGGAACCTCGGCCTCCTGCTACACCCTAAGCCCCCTGAACCTTCTGAAGCCTCTGAGCCTCCTAACCCTAAGTGAGAAGAGGGCCAAGCTGACCTCTTCAAATTTCCTAAAACAACATTCCTGACGATGAAACTCTCTTAAACGCGAGAGCCTTAGATCGGATACCTTGTCAACCCCCTATAGGCCCAATTGAGCTTAGAGCCCATCTTCCAAACCGCAGACTGCGCAGGCCGCTGAAGAGAGCCCCTCAGCTGGAAGCGAGCATCCTCACCTGCGATTTGGGGTTTGGGGTTGAGGGTTGAGGATTTGGGGTTTAGGAATGAGGGTTTAGGGTTGAGGGTTTAGGGTTTAGGGGTTTAGGGTTTCGGAATGAGGGTTGTCATTCACGAGGACACCACCAAGGACTTCAGGGAAGCGGCACAAAGTGTAGGGCGCACGCGGAACTCCACGGAGGTGAGCCCCGTCGTCTTTTTCCACGCGCGCACGCGCGTGCGGGAGGTCAGATGACGAAGGAAGCTCTTCCCTCGATGTCAGCTGCATCACTCCTGAGCATTCCCTACTGATTCTGAGTCTGAGTAGGTAATGAGGGAAATAGGAGCCTTACATTTGCCTCTATGCCGTTTAAGGGACTATATTGGGTACCTCGTTCCTTCGTGCTGCTAAGAACTCGTAAGGTTCCGGTGCAGTATCGATGTGGGCTCTTTACTCAGACTGGTTATCAGAGCTCAGTTTTCAGGGTTCAGGGTTCAGGGTTTAGGGTTTAGGGTGCTTTAGCATGTGATATACCATTTATATGAAACCATCGTCCGAATGACTAAAGAAAACTTGTGTTGCACCGATTACATACTATACCTCTTCTTTCCAGAGGTTTGTGGTTTTGGGCGGGAAGTGCCCGGGGCTGTTCCTAGCACCCTGCCTAGCCCTTTAACTCAACCCTGAGCCCTGGCCCGAAGGCACAGGGACCCGAACCCCCACCCCGAACCTAAACCGCCTAAAACCTACCTTCCTCCGTGACTTCGAACCCTTCATCCCGAAAGAATCCAGCGGTCGGATGCGGCTTAGGGTTTACAGGGTATATGGGGTCAGGGCAACTTCAACGGACCTCCAGCCTCTGAGGTTTGGAAGATAAAACTTCCCTACATTGCCCCCTCCCCTCCACCCCCCCAAGCAAGGTAGGTGTAGGGCACATGGTGTGCCTTCATCTCCCTACAAACCACCCCCCCCCCCCCCCCCCCCCCCGCCCCCAAAGGAAAGCAGGTCTAGGAATTGGGGCATAGAGCCCTAAACCCTGAACCCTACACCCAGCCGGCAAAGTGTAGGCCCAGGTGCCGGCAGCTTTGGCACGGCGAGGGGCGGCAGGTGTGCCGAGTTCCGGACGCACCTCGCAAGGTTTTCTGGTGTTTGCAGTGTGTTGCAGTGGTCCAACTCATGAAACCAATCCGGAACACCCCTAGCCCCATCTCGCCCCAGACCCCCACATCGCTAGACCCGGAACTAAAAAAAACCGAAAAGAGCCCATGCAATGAAGCCCTAAACCCTAGACCCTGCCCTAAACCCTAAACCCTAAACCCTAACCCCTAAACCCCTAAACCCCTAAACCCTAACCCCGAACCCACACCAAGGCACCTGGCCACCACCTCTTCCCAGGCAGCGCCCCTGGCACGCTGATCCTTGCCAGAACCCGAAACCCTATAAACCCTGAGGCCTAAACCCTAAACCCTAAACCCTAAACCCTAAACCCTAAACCCTAAACCCTGAACCCCAAACCCTAGACTTTGGTGGGAACTCTTGGGCTTCAGAGGATTGCGGTTCAGTGATCGGGTTCAAGGCTCAGTGAGGCCTCGGTGGCTCCTCAAAAGCCAGGGCTGTCGACCCAGGGTGCAATGTTTATGGACTCCGAAGGCCACGAAGACAGCAGACCCTGAACTTCGAAAGGGATTAGGGTTGCTCAGACGCTTCTTTCGCTTGGGGGGGGGGAGGTGGGGGGGGGGGGAGGTGGGGGGGGGGGGGGGCTGCGCTCTCAGCTGACTACGAGCAACGAAATACGTAGAAAACCAAACAACAAAACGCTGACCCCAGCTCAAGCCCAAAACCTGAAGCTGCAAAACTTCGCACCTCCTCCGAGGTCATGGGCACGTAGAGTACGCCTCAGCCCAGACCCGTGGAGGGGTTCGGGTTGCAGTTTATTGTGTTTGTTTGTGGGGGGAGTATGTAACCCAAGGTTCCCAAATACCCCCCACTACTCTTTACGGCTCCCTAAGCTTCTTTACGTGCCCTACGTACCTACTCCCCATGAACCCGCTCCCTTGACCCAATAATCTATACTTCTACTCCCCTGCGTGTCCCGATTTCTGGCGTCGCTTTCCCAGGACCTTCGGCGATGTCTTCGGCAAAATCTTGTTACCCAAACACATGGCCCAAGTTTATAACACCGGAACTCCTGAAACCGCGTGAGAGCCTGCAACCATGGGCCTGAGAACCTGCCGCCGCAGCCGTGGCATGAGAAAAAACCATGCTGCAGCTGTGGCATGGACCCTAAACCCTAAACCCTAAACCCTAAACCCTAAACCCTAAACCCTAAACCCTAAACCCTAAACCCTAAACCCTAAACCTGAGTAAGCCAGGCTGAAGATGCCCAAGCCAGCGCGATTCCAGCAAGCCGTGTGAACCGAACCCTGTAAACCTCATGGGATCTCTGAATATCTAGGGTTTAGGGTTTAGGGTTTAGGGTAATCAGGTCCTTAAAGGCTTCTAGGACCCTGAGTCCTGGAAGTTTACAGGGAAAAGCCCTAAACCCTAAAACCTATAACCCTAAACCCTACAAACCCCTAAACCCTACAAACCCTGAACCATGTTCGACACGCACCCTTCCTGACCACTTAGCACCGCGCGGAGGTGTCTGTTGACCACTGCGCTGCCGCCGTCCGTGGGCAGGTCGATGCTGCTCAGCCTAAAGAACAGGGGCTCAGGGCCCAAGGCTAAACCTTGTAAACCCTAGAAACCCTACAAAACCCTAGAAGCCCCATAAACCATACAAAAGCCCATAAAACCCTATGAAACCCCATGCACCCTATGACCCCCATGCGCGCATATAAACCCTATAGAACCTGCAAACCCCATAACCATTATAGACTCTATAACCCCCATATACCCTATATAAACCCTATAAACCCTAACTAAAACCCTGCAAACCCTACAAACCTTATAAACCCCCCTACAAACCCTATAAACCACTCCAAATGCAACTTGGCAGCCACTGTGGCGCGTCGGTTGCGCCGATGGGCGCGACTGCTCGTCCACCGGGACGGAGTAGCTCCAACAGCCAGGGCTGGACAGGGTGTTTAGGGTTTGGGGTTTAGGGTTTAAGGTTCAGAGTTTACAGTGTAGGTTTCAGGGTTTAGGGTTTAGGGTTCGAATCTACTAAGTACCTTGGGGACCAGATCAACACCCTAAAATTGGGGTCATCGACCATATGCTCTAGCAAAAGAAACCTGCTGAGGTATATGAACCTTAGACCCGTTTGTAGTTCGTTTGGTCCCCAAAACAGTCGAACATGTGACAGTGGAGGGCAGCCGGCGACAGGGGAGTTTGCTCGGAGGTCGGAAAGAAGGTCTTAACAACGGGAGCCCATTGCAGCTGAACCTTCTACAGTTCGCGAACGGCAGGCGACCAGAGAAGTCCATCGAAATCGTCATCCAGACGCTGGGCGCTGGCTACATGCTTGAAACTCAATGTTTGGCGAAGAGGCCCTCTCATTCGCTAATGAATTCTCTGAGCCTGCTGATGACACTCATGACTGCAATCCAGGATGGAATAACTATCGTCTTAAGCTACGAATTGCTTAAGAACCCACCCAAAAAATGTTCTTCCTTATTAAGGGAATTGTATCGGAGGGATTACTATTGTTTATTCTCTTGGGGTTCTTGAGCAAATAGTAGTAATCCCGTCCTCACGCCGCCCCAGATGTACAAAGTGCCTCTGGCCCAGAGAGTGCGGCGCCGCAGTGAACGACGTGAAAGCCACCCTCCTCCTCGAAAGTCCAAGAACTTCTTGGGGGTGAGGGCTCTGAGCAACAGGGTCACTCTTTCTCGCTCTCGCTCTCGCGCTTTCTCTCGCTCTCTCTCGCTCTCTCGCTCTCTCTCTCTCTCTCTCTCTGGCTCTCTCGCTCTCTCGCTCTCTCGCTCCTCTCGCTCTCTCGCTCTCTCGCGCTCTCGCGCTCTCGCGCTCTCTCGCTCTCTCTCTCTCTCTCTCTCTCTCTCTCTCTCTCTCTCTCTCTCGCTCTCGCTCTTTAGGGTACCGCAGCTAGGGTTTATGGGGTATGTTGGGTTCGGCTTAAGAGGGCCGCACAAACCCTCAGCGCCCACTTCAAACAGCTCCTAGGCACAGTTGTTGAAGACTAAAAAGACCAGGATGTATACGACATTGCCAACAACATAGGGCCTCGGGGCTCTCGAGGAAGGGCCTCAGAATAGACATTCGAGAAGAAAGCCACTTGTAGAGTGATTCCGGACGCCTGCCCCCTCCCCTGACGGTGCTTATAGGGTCTCCCTAAACCCTAAACCCTGAACCCTAAACCCTAAACCCTAAACCTTAAACCTTAAAAGGTTTAGGGTTTAGCGTGTTTGGTGTGGGGGGGTTTTGGGGTTTGTGACTCAGGCTTTGGCAAGAATTACGCGGGCACGCGCGCACGCGGGCTCTCCCGGCCTGCAGTGTCCGCGCATCTTGACACCGGAGGTCCAGGGTTCCATCAGTCTGGGATCGAGGCTTGGCTTAAGAACTGTATAGGGTTTCGGGTTTAGGGTTTAGGGTTTGGGTTTTTAGGGAACCCTATAGGGTCGCAATAGCCTTCGGAAGGCTTTTTGGGTGTAGTTTGTCGTATAAGGGGGAACCTCCCAACTTCCGGGTTTACTGGCAGAGGACTGCCGCTTTCTGTCAAGTGAGGTGGAAAACGAGCATTTCTCCGAAGTGCAACTGCTCTACAAAGTCAGAATGACATAGGGGTCCTTACGACATCAGGGGTAGGGTTTAGGGTTTAGGGTTTAGGGTTTAGGGTTTAGGGTTTAGGGTTTAGGGTTTAGGGTTTAGGGTTTCGGTTTAGGGTTTAGGGTTTAGGGTACTTCTTTGGGGTCTTGAATATACGGGAATCCTACTATTGAGGATCTGTCGGGCAGCAGAAACATCGGGCGGACCCAAACTCCCCACACGGCAGGGGTGACAGGAACCTGATGATGATGATGAAGTTGAGGGCAACAACCTGTGCGTAACAATCATTCATCGAAAGACCCCTACTATTAGCCCAAAAAATCATGACGCACACACACACACAAACACACAGACACAGAGACACAGAGACACAGACACACACACACACACAGAGACACACACACACACACACACACAGAGACACACACACACACACACAGACACACACACACACACACACACACACACACAGAGACACACACACAGAGACACACACACAGAGAGACACACACAGAGACACACACACACACACAGAGACAGACACACACAGAGACACACACACACACACACAGAGACACACACGGAGAGACACACGGAGACGCACGGAGACACACGGAGACATACGGAGACACACAGAGACACACAGAGACACAGAGACACACAGAGACACACAGAGACACACAGAGACAACACAGAGACACACAGAGACACACAGAGACACACAGAGACACACAGAGACACACAGAGACACACAGAGACACACAGAAGACACACAGAAGACACACAGAAGACACACAGAGACACACAGAAGACACACAGAGACACACAGACACACACACACACACACACACACACACACACACACACACACACACACACACACACACACACACACACACACACACACACACACACACACAGACACACACACACACACACACGGACACACAGAGACACGGACACACAGAGACACGGACACACAGAGACACGGACACACAGAGACACGGACACACAGAGACACGGACACACAGAGACACGGACACGGACACGGACACAGACACAGACAAACAGATATACATATATATATATATATGGGACCCCCCACAAAAGGTACGCTATTGTCGGAAACACCCACCTAGCAATCTGATAGCCAGCAGCGCTCAACATCTTGGCCGCGGATCCAGCAGGTCTTTGTGGTTCTTTGCCACGTTGACGACAGACTCGTCCGCCAGCTCCTGCGCAGCTCTATAGTTTAGGGTTTAGGGTCAGAGCCTTCTTTTGGTGAGGGCTCACGAGTTAGCCGCAGGGCAGCGGACGAACAGTAACTTCAATGCCGGGATGCTGGGATTCGGGGTTTTCGGATTCTGTTCACTGAACCCTAAACCCCCAGCCCGCCAACCTTAAACCATACAGCATCGTCTGGCACCTTTGTCCCCAACCACTTCCCCCTAAATCACGGATGATGCACCTAATCGGGTCTTGAAGGGGCTCAGAGTCGTCGAGGGTTGAGGGTTGAGGGTTGAGGGTTGAGGGTTGAGGGTCTAGGGTGTAGGCTTGTAGCTGAAATGTTGTAACTAGCGTGCCGCTTGCGGCCTTCTGATGCTGCGATGAAATGTGGCCGAGTCCTTGCCCCCCACCGACTCCAGCAACAACTTGCCACTTCCAAGTGGCCGATCTGAGCCCAACAGCCCCAAACCCTAAACCTTAAACTTTACACCCTAAACCCTGAACCCTGAACCCTGAACCCTAAACCCTAAACCCTAAACCCTAAACCCTACACATTGAGCCCTGGCACTTCCAAGGGACCTGGATGTGCTCAAGGCCCAGCACCCTGCCGCGGCCCCGCGCGAGGTTTGCCAACCTCGGGGCTTTGGAGGTTGACAAGGACTCTGGGGGGTTTAGGGTTTAGGGTTTAGGGTTTAAGGTTTAGGGTTTAGGGTTTAGGGTTTAGGGTTTAGGGCTATTGGGTTTAAACCCTAGAACAAAAAGCCTCCCACTCCGCACCGACCTCGATGAGGGTTGATCGAGTCCAAGCTTCCGGCTTTACGCTCGAAGGTGCTCGGGTTTACAGGGTCTGGGAAACCTTCATGAACCTTTGAATCCCCTGCCGCCCCCCCACCCCCCCAAATCTTGCTCCCTGAACCCTGAACCCTGAACCCTGAACCCTGAACCCTGAACCCTGAACCCTCAACCCTAAACCCTAAACCCTAAACCCTAGCCCTAAACCCTAAACCCTAAACCCTAAACCCTAAACTCTCTAACTCAAAACACCCTCCAGCTCGACACGGCACATCGCTGCCATGCACCCGCTGCCGGAACCAAGGTCCAGGATCCGAAGCCTGCGCGTAGACTCCGAAACTTTACCCTAGGCCCGGTTTAGGGTTTAGGGTTTAGGGTTTAGGGCTAGGGTTTAGGGTCTAAGGTTTAGGGGCTGAGCGGGTAAACTCAAACTCTAAAGCCCCGCCCACGACCTCTGAACCCCTGAACTCTACACCCTGCATCCTAACCCCTATAAATGGCGCAAACCCACACATGTACAGTGGCCCCTCTGATGCTGAGAACCCTGCGGTTCTTCGATACCGGAGACCTTTTCCTGCGGCTGAGACACTTAATGAAGAGTTTCAGGGGCTTCTCGGGGTTTATAGGGTTGGGGATTCAGGGTTCAGGGCCTACAAAGCCCTGCCCTAGACGCGTTAATAAGCCGAACGAAAATATCTGCAGGTCCCGGGCTTAGTCTCTACGGTAGATAAACCTGCGAAGAATTCGTGCTCAGGGTCTAGGGGTGGGCACGATGGTGAGGGGGTTCATCAGTTTCAGCTTCAGGGCTACTTGCAATGTGTCAAACTAAGAGCTTAGGAGGCTTAGGAGAGGTGCAGCATCCATCCCTAAACCTATATACACCCGAAACCAACCTCTAAACCCCTAAACCCCTGAAACCCTGAACCCCTAACACCCCTCAACCCCTAAACGCCTCCACCCCTCAACCCCTAAACCTCCAAATCCCCATACCCCCTGACCCCTAAACCTCCAAATCCCCACACCCCTGAGGCCCCCAAACCCGCAAGCTCCATAGTGTTTTGGAGCTGAACCCCTAAACCCCTAAAACCCCTAAAACCCCTAAAGCCCCTAAAACCCCTAAAACCTCTAAACCCCAAGCTCTTTCGTGTTTTGGATGCAGGGGCTCAAGGCTTCGTGGGCGGAGTGTCTCCTCCACCAACTCCAAGGCCGCGGCGTGCACGTGCGGCGCGGACACCTTTCTTAGTTGATACTAACTCGAGTTTAGGGTTTAGGGTTTAGGGTTTGGGGTTTGGAGTTTGGGGTTTGGGGTTTGGGGTCTGGGGTTTGGGGTTTAGGGTTTAGGGTTTGGGGTTTAGCTAGGGTCGGAAGGCCTGAGAAACCAAAAGAGCTCCTAAACCTCTAAAAAGGGCCAGGGGCCTGGGCCCCAGTCGAACCCATGACCGCCGCTGCATCCAGGTAGGCGTCGGCGCCTGCTGCGGGGGAGTTTTGTTTAGGGTTTAGGGTTTAGGGTTTAGGGTTTAGGGTTTAGGGTTTAGGATTTAGGGTTTAGGGTTTAGGGTTTAGGGTTTAGGGTTTGGAGGGCTTCAGGAGTTCAGGGCGCCCCTCAACTCTTCACCGCCAGCCTTCCTGAGGTCACAAACCTGGAAAAAAAAAACAACGCGGAACTGGAGAGCCTTCGGGCACGAAGTCGGCTCGGTCCACGGCTGCGTACGCCTTGCGCTCATATTCACCCGAAGGGTTCGGGGGGCCTCAAACCCCTAAGCCATGAACCCTGAGTTCATACCTAAACCCTAAACCCTAAACCCTAAACCCTAAACCCTAAACCCTAAACCCTAAACCCTAAACCCTAAACCCTAAATAAACCCTAAACCCTAAACCCTAAACCGCTTCAAATCCCTAAGCTCTCGACTCCAAGCCCTAAACCCTAATTACCCTGCAAACCATGAACCTTCAACTCCTCAACCCCTACATCCCCAAATAGGCCAAAGCCCACTCAAGGTTCAGGATTGGCTTCTGGCTCAGGGTTCCGGGCTGACCCCCTCAAAAAATCCTGAAACCCTAAACCCTAAACCCTAACCCTAAACCCTAAACCCTAAACCCTAAACCCTAAACCCTAAACCCTAAACCCTAAATCCTAAACCCTAAACCCTAAACCCTAAACCCTAAACCCCAAACTCTAAGCCCTACACCCTAAATCCGCTTTGGAAGCTTCAAGGCCCAGCCTCGGCCGCTGCCGCGCTGCGTAGGACGCCATGCCGCTGTAGCAGCTGAGTGAGCTCCTTGCCCAAGGAGGGGTTTAGGGTTTAGGGTTTAGGGTTAGGGTTTAGGGTTTAGGGTGTAGGGTCGAGGCCCCCCCAACCTGGAAACCCTGATAGGGCTTTGGGGCCTTGGTGTTGTGCCTCATCCCTGGACCCGAAACCCCCGCAAACCTAAACCCGGAAGCCCTGCACTTCTCCCAACCGGATGGGCCCACACCACCATGCCGGATTGGTGATGCTGCCAGAAAATTGCATGGCACAGCTGCCTGCCCTAAACCCTAAACCCTACATCCCCTTTGTTTCGCAAGCATACCCAGTACTCACCCGGGGACACCCGATAAATCGGTTCTCGGCTCTGAGCCGGTCCAAATGACTTGTCCTCGTGTCCCTAAACCCCAAAAACCCGAGGCTTCTATAAACCCCAAATCCTGGCAAAACTGCTACAAAAGGTTCTCATGTTTGGCACTCCCCAAGTATTGTGCTCCGAGCCAGCCTCCAGGCTGAATATTGTCGTGGAGCGAGGCTTACGTTTTCCGGAGTTTCGCGTTTGGGGGGCCGGAAGGGGGGGGGGGAGGGGTTCAGGGCTTAGGGCTTGAAACCTGCGCTCATTCTGCAGTTGAGCTATTCGACGGATGCTAGTTGGTCTTGCTCTGTGTGCCTGCTGTATTCGACTCTGCTGGATAATACCTGGCCCCTGAACCCTCAACCCTCAGCCCTCAGCCCTAAGCCTTTCTTCCTGTCCATATGAGAGCTTGCTCCGAAAACTGTTGCCTCGTGGCTGTCAGCAGTGCTCAGCGGCACACCGCAGAACCGGCACACAGGGATCTCCTGCACTGAGAGCTAAACCCTAAACCCTAAACCCTAAACCCTAAAACCTAAACCCTAAACCCCAAACCCTAAACCCTAAACCTGAAGGGGCGACTTCCTCCGAGGTAGAGGGAGCAGACTGTTGGGCAGGTTTTTGGGGGGCATGCCTAGTACCCTGGCTTATAAAGGTGTTTGTTCCAACCCTTTTTCTCGGGCTCGGTTCACCTTTGCATCAAGTCCGCATGTCAGCGGCATTTCTTCAAAAGCCCTGCGATCCCCGTCGTGCTCATTTTCTGGCCGAATTAACATCGGGGCCTAATGTCTTTAGAGGCGGTGTCGTGGGGAGTTGTGACTTTATTGGGGTTTTTTGGGTGAATTTAGGGTTCCCGAGCCACAGGCATGATCTCTTTCGTGGGGTCAGATGGTCTTCTCAGGATCGGCCTCGGTGAAATCAAGTCTTCCGGGCGTTAATATAGGGGCCTTAATGTTTCGACTAGGGCTCTTATAGTACATTTATAAGAAGGGGCCATAAGGGAATACCATTATTCATTATTCCGGCCCCTATATTGGGCTGAATGGCTTGCCTTTCCCTCTGCCTCTTTAAGGCATCTTTTGCATTCTCGGCCCGTAAATCCCTGTTCTCACGTGCAACATTACAGTGCCTGAAGCCTGTGGGCCTAAACGCTAAACCCTAAACCCCAAACCCTAAACCCTAAACCCTAAACCCTAAACCCTAAACCCTAAACCCTAAGCAGCCCTCTGAACCCTGGAGGGCTTATAGGGTTCAGGGTTCGGCGCTTCTTTCGTCCTCCGCTGCTTCAGCCGAGGGGGCACGGCTACCCATTGGCGAAGGTGGCTCCCAAGGCTGTCAATGTAGGAGATATGGGGCGAACAGTAGGGTGCAGAGTGTAGCGAGTTGAATGACTGATTATAGCTTCTACATCCTGCAACAACCCATGCGTTGTGAACTTGAGCTCAGCTCCTTTCTAGAAGACGCACATGGTCAGGGCGTTCCTTGACATAGAACGTGATACCCGACACTCAATCCTAAATCCTAAACCCTCGATCATGGGACGTGAGCTGACCCCACAGGAGCTGTGGCAGCCACAAAATTCTGCTTGAGGCTGTCTTACTCTATGGCTGAGGGTTTAGGGCTCAGGGGTTGAAAGGCTCTTTTGGGCTTTGGGGAGAAGTGCTTGCTTGGGGGTTCGGATTGAGGGTTTGGAGCTTGGGTCTGGGTCTGCAGGCAAGCAAGATCGCAAGCTTTTGAGCTGACTTGCCAGGCGGAGCAGCATGAACGGAGGATGCCCAAAACCCGAAGTCCAAATCTCTAAATTCCAAATCCTATATTCCCTCGACCCTCAACCCCAGAATTTCTGAGACCTGATAGATCCCGTGGCCTACGGCCTTACGGCCTAGTAGGAATTTCGGCCTTATAGACCCTATAACACCCTAAACCCCAAAGCCACGACAGAAACCTCAAAAAATTCCTGGATGGGCCCCTAACCTGAAACCCCTAAACCCTCAATCCGAAATCCCATGGGCCCTCAACTTAGACCTTTCAAAGACCCAACAGCCTGAGGCTTACGGATTTTTAGGACCTATGGGGCGGCCAGGATTCAGGCTTTGGTTGAGCTTTTTCGGGGTTTAGTAAGGGTTTTGGGGCTTTGGGGTCTTAGAGCTATAGGTTTTAGTGCTTAGTTAGGGGTGTTCGGGTCTTCGTATATTGGCGCTTAGGGTTGTGCTTGACGCCTCCTCAATGTGGAATGCTTCACGCCTCAACCCCCGAGGCCTTCACACTCGGACTAGGGTTCATGGTTCGGGGTTGATGGCTTCGGGCTTGAATTAGGAAGGGTTGAAGCTTTTGGCCGGGTGGTAGTGTAGGACCATAAGCCCTGCATCCTGTTTAGGATCCCTAAACCCTAAACCCTAGACCCTAATTAAACCCTAGACCCTAAACCCTGCATCTGAGAGCCTTCTTTCGCAGCATCTCATTCTCTTGCTGCATGGCCTCAGCTGCAGTCTTTCCGGTCGAGGACTTCACATAAACCCTTACACCCTAAGCCCTATCAACCCCACAGTCCTAAACCTAAACCCTAAACCCCTAAAGCCGAAACCCCTACATCCCTAACCCCTGAAGCCCTATATACATCCCTGAGCCCTGAAGCCTAAGCCCGACCATACAGCCTACACCGTACATACCCTAAACCCCCCACGTCCCCAAACCCTAAATCCCGAAGGGCCTGCTGATGAGGTTTGGGGTTTAGGGTTTGTACAGTAGACCCCAAAAAGTTGGAAACCTTTTTAAGGACAAATAATGCTGGGATTCCCTCTACTTTACTCTTAGGGATTGAGGCGATTGAGTTTCCAACTTTTCGGCTTCTACGACAATTAGGGTTTATCAGGCTCGGGTGCTGGATTTCGGGGGCCCCATCAGCCAATCCACAGACTGAAAGCCGACTCTCAAGGACTGAGTCGAATCCCTCCACCTTCTTCGCGTATGAAACCCCTAAATGCTAAACCCTATAGGCCCTATAAACGAAACCCTAGGACCCGTAACTTGCCCTGGGATTCCACACCGACATGCGCCGTCGAAAGTCTTCCACCTGCAGGGAGTCAGTTCGAACTGCCAAGGTTGAAGTGGCTTAGGGTTTTTGGGCTTTTGGGGTGTTTCTTTCGTTTTTGGGCGGTGGGGTTGGGGGGCGGGGGGGGGTTCCCTAGACATGATCATTGCTTCCCGCAAGGGGCCCATCGTGTAGACTTTGTAACCGCATAGTCCCCGTTTCTGGGCAACTTAATGCACCTCTGCTCTATACAGTACACATCCAGGTTGTGGCTGCCGTCCGTGGGCAACTTGACCGTCAAGCGCAACCCTAAACCATAAACCCTACACCCTCATTTCCACGATCAAAGGAGCACCCTAAAAGTCGCCATGTAGTTCCGACTGCGAGTCGGAGAAGGCTTGTGCCAGACATGCACGTATGGTCTGGGGAGTAGGGTTAAGGGTTTAGGGTTCAGGGTTTAGGGCTACAACCCCTACAGCCCTGAGCCCCCCCGAAGCAACCAAATCCGAAAACCCCTAAATTCCCCCTAAGACCCACCAAAAACCTTCTCAACCAGATAAGGTCATCGTAGGAACGCCTGGGCGCCTGACCGATCCAACCTCTGAGGGAGCGCCGCTTGGCATCTGCAGTCGCATTTTTACGTGGGTCGTGGGGCTTCGGGTTTAAGGTTTATAGGGTTTAGGGTTTGGGGTTTAAGGATGAGGGTTTTGTAGCGGTTGGGCTTCGCAATGTATAGGAAAGTCCAGTAGAACTGTTCTTTGCTGCGGGTTTCCCGGGGGCCTCAGGGCAAAAAAACACTGTTTCGCCTTGTTTTTGCTTTTACGGTCAATAGAAACTTAGCCGTGACATTGGAGAGAAGGCTACAACTGGTGAATCGACATTTCGGGTTGTGGGGTTTAGAGGTGCACAGAAAAGCCTTTACCGGGAGATAACTGGAGGAGTGCTCCGAATGCCAGAACTGCGCTTCAACAACCCGTCGCTCTCAACACTTCATGCGCAAGGACTGCCACCCCCCCCCAAAAAAAAAACAAGAGGACAAGATTAATACACAAATAAAGACATGTGAACGTAACATGCAATAAAGAAAAGTATATGTATACATATATATCTATATAAGTACGTATATATATATATATATAGATGCAAATAAATACACATCGTCGCCTGGCTCCAGCGTTGTGGACTTGCAAAGCCGGACCTGAGGAAAAAAGGTGTTTACGTTTGGGGTTTGGGGGCCTCTCACCCTAAACCCTAAATCCTAAAACCCTAAACCGAAAAAATCCTAAACCTTAAGGTTTTCATAATTTACAGGGCCTGCGTGTTTGGAGAGCCTCCACTTGTAGTTTTTGCTGAGGTCGGTCTGGGGGTTCTCAAAGCCTTGGGGGTGAAACACCGCACATCCCTCCTCGCCACCCCTAACCCTAAACCCTAAACCCTAAACCCCGATGTTGCATTCTTTGGAACACAAGCCAACAACCAAAACCCGCAAATGCCAAAATCCTAGTCTAAACCTGCAACTCCCTGTATTTTTGGGGTGAGAGCTGGGCGGGGGGGGGGGGGGGGGGGGGGGAGCAACGTTCCTGCCGGACCCAAACTTTGAAACCCAGAGTTGTGCAACGCGGCAAACACGCTGTAAATACCAGGGCAAAGAAAGAACAGGGCCTGACAAAGTTTCGTTTTCAGTCTGCGCTCAAACGCTCCGTGGCCTGGGTCTTGGCACGCGAATCCTCTGAAACTATACTGTCTCAAGGATTCGTGGCCTGCTACCTGATGCGTCCTGCTGTGAAGGATGCGCTTCTCCAAGTTTTTACAAAATGCAAAGCAGGCTATGTTCAAAAATTCAAGTCGCACGCCGTTACCAAGAATTCGGGGCCGGAAATGCTAATCTTGCACAAAAAACGTTCGCTTACCCAGCCCCGAAACCCTAAACCCTAAACCCTGGGCCCATCTCACCCCAGAATCAACAGCTCCATGCATAGCCTGACAACCCTCTTCGGGTAGTCCTATGGTCCCTTAGTATGGGCCCTGAAAAAGGGGCCCCGTATGTACCCCTTATTTACCCTACACAATTTCAGAACCCATACATCAGAACCCTTTAAAGTACCCTTTATAACCCCGGACGGTTTAGAGCTACAGTGCTCCGTCAAGCGTCATGGGCGTCTCACGTCCGGATGCAAGTCTGCTCCTGGCCGAGCATTGAAAGGCTTGGTGAAGGAAGCAGCTACAGCAGCTCCTACTCCTTGCAGGATTCCTTGCCTTCGCCACAGCACTGTAAGCTGCACTCCTCTCACCTAGGAATCCCTTAGAGGCCTTCCCCCACAAACATAAACATGCCGAGATGGCCCACCACGGGCATATGAGCTGGACAGAGACCTTACAGTGGAACTGCACTGGACGACGTTGACTCCGGACTATTCGGGCTCTCTGCCTACAACCAGGGTCATCCCGGACCAAAGCTCGCAAAACATGCAAGGACATCTTATCTAAGTTGATCCCCTACAAAAACTGTATGACACATGAAATCAGTGAGTTGATTTGGAGGCTGTTGAATTAATTATGTTTTCAGATGACCTGAGTCGAGGAGATCTGCGCCTAAGGCCCCCGACCACAATTCACCTGGAAACAGTAACCCAATCACGAAGCGCACGCGGATGTGAGGTTTGATCTAAACTTCTGGGCCCTTCTTCGCCCTACAGTGGGATATCCTTATAGAGGCTTACGAGAATAGGGGTTTTTTTCGAGAATATATCCCCAACTGGTAGGATTCCCTTTTCATGGTCGAACTGAGGATTCCTTGGAGGGCCCCTTGCCCGCAGATCTCTAGCCTCCCAAACCCCGAAGCCCCGAAACACCCCCAAACCCGTAAAAAAAAAAACAACCTCGAACTTGCCCCCCGCGCCCTAAACCCTAAACCCTAAACCCTAAACCCTAAACCCCCCAAAAAAACAACAAACGAAACCCTCAGATCTCAGGAAAGCCAGGGTCGGCTCCCAGAAGCCGGCGGAAACATGACCTGTCTAGGGGTGCAGGATTTTAGGGTTCAAGGGTAATTTGTGGGTTTAGGGTTTAGGGTTTAGGGTTTAGGGTTTAGGGTTTGGGGTTTGGGGTTTGGGGTTTGGGGTTTGGGGTTTAGGGTTCAGAGGCTTCGGGTTTAGGGTTTGGAGGCTTCGGCTTCATAGTTTCGGGTTTAGGGCTTGTTAGGGTTTAAGTGTTTATGGTGTAATGGTTTAGGGTTTAGGGGCTCAGGGCATTACGGTTTCGGGTGTAGGGGTTTAGGGCG